CGGTCTCCTGCCTTGTTCATTCCTGCCGGTTTGTGGACAGCTTTGCAGGGCAGTTGAGGAGGTTGAAGAATGCTGGTCTAGGGCACAGGTTATACTTGTGTGGGGCTCAGGCTCACGGAAGCACTTCCCATAGGTCTGTACTGACTCCTGCCCCCGGCCAGTCCCCTCCTGACATCCCCCTAGACACCACATCACACCTTCCCACCCCCAGACAATTCCTTGTTCCCTCTTTGTGGCCAAAACAAGTGGCACCTGGTGAGCTGGCACCTGGTGAGCTGCTCTTAGTCACCTTTCCCTTGTCACAAACACCTTAGGTCATTGCTTTGTAACCCCTCACTCTTACTCTTCCATGGAATCTCTTCTTATCAATGTTCTGATCATCTCCAGGATCCAGGGAACATGCTTTATTTAAACACTTTAAATAAAATATTTGAACACCTTAAATAAAAAAGCGATTTATTTAGAAAAATAAGTGGGACATCAACTAATTTTATTTTGTGTGTGTTGTTTTTGGGCCACACCCAGCAATGCTCAGGGATTACTCCTGGCTCTGTGCTCAGGGGTCACTCCTGGCGGTGCTCATGGGACCATAAGCAGCTCCAGGTCCAAACCTGGGTCAGCTGTGTGCAAGAGAGTGCCTTCACCTCTGTGCTATCTTTCTGGCCCCCTTTTTCTTGGGGGTAGGGGGTGATGTGGTGGCATAAGCCTTTATTTTTTATTTTTTTACTTTTTGTGTAAAAAAAGTAAACCCCTGGCGATGCACAGGGGTTACTCCTGGCTCTGCACTCAGGAATTACTCCTGGCGGTGCTCAGGGGACCATATGGGATGCTGGGAATCGAACCCGGGTGGGCCTCATGCAAGGCAAATGCCCTACCTGCTGTGCTATGGCTCCAGCCCTGGCATAAGCCTTTATATTTCCAGAGATAACCAGCTTGGACATATAGTATTAAAAAAATGCTTACAAATAGGATTTTGTGGGAAAATACAGGCTATTTTGTGATCTTGTAGCAATGTGTAAACGACACTCATGATCAGTAGTGGACCCCAGTTACTTTAAACTTAGCAGGTTTTGGGGATATGTTCTTGCTGATGCATGCGAGACACTCTTTGGTCATCTATATTGGTAATCTATTTGGTCATCTATTTGGTCATTGTCCTCTCAGCATTCAATACAGTAACTTTTACTTTCTACTCAGATCTATACTCAACACTTTAAAAGCAATTGTATCTTGCCTGCATGGCAAAGCTTGGCAAGCTACCCGTGACATATTCGATATGTCAAACACAGTAACAAGTGAGATGTTACTGGGACCGCTCGAGCAAATTGATGAACAACGGGAGGACAGTGACAGTGACTACGCCCGTTAGTACTCAGAATTCCCAGTAAAGTTCAGGAGACCAGGCAATGTTGGGATCAAGCCCAGGCCTCTGACCTGCAAAGCAAGTGCTCAGCCCTTTGGGACATCTCTTGGGGCCTCTGAGCAAACTTTGAAGGAACTGGAGACAATTGGAGCCCATAGTCTTCTAGAACTTCTGCTGGCACCAATTCATACCCATTGAATGGCACCCCTGTGAGTGACAGTGCTTTTCAAAGACAGTCCCAGTGCTCCCAGTCTTCAGATTCAGATGTGAGCAGGAAGTGGGCTGCTGCTCTGCCCCTGGTCGGGCCCCTGTGGTCCTGAGACAACACCCGCTTTCATACCAGTTGGCCTGGTGGAGGGCTGGGGTTTGTGTGTGCAGGTATTGGCTAGACTCTCCTAGTGCTGCAGTTCTTCCCAGGCAGCACTGTGGGGACCACATCCGGCTGTTCTCAGAGCACCTCTGGATTCCACCTCAGGCTTCCTTGAAAACTCGCCCTCCAGGAGTTCCGGCTGCGCACACAGATCTGCCCAGACCCGTCCGACTGGCTGCTGACCGGCTCCAGAAAGCTGCTGGGAAGCCAGTGTGTTGGGTCATGCTGGGGCCATCCCCTCCGTGGTGAAGGACCCTGCCTAGCTCTGGAAGGCTTCCCCAGTGACTAATGTCCATGCAAATCAGACCCGTCAGGTCCCTTCCTGAAACCTGTGCTATTTCCTGTTGCCCCAGGGCAGCAATGTAAATCCCCTGGATTTCCCAGTTGACTCTGTTTCCCTGGCCCTGGCCTCATTGTCTCTCCCGGATCCTTGACCAAGCCCAACACCTGTTTCCCTCAGAGCCTCCGTTCAGCTCACTCCTCTGCGGGAAACGTTCTTCCATTCCGTCATGACCTGGCCGAGGCCTCAGCTTAAACTCAGACCCTCCTTATCTCCTTTCCTTCCCACTCCTCTGTCTGCCTCTTCCATCTTCAGTCTTCCCGATCCCCCCTCTAGCCTGAAAGCTCTGTGGCTTTATCCCCACTGGTCTTAGGCCAGCCCAGGGCCAGGCGGTTTGCTTAAGCTCAGGAAATGTTTCTCAGCTCAGAATCTTCTCCTTAACAGCGCCAGCTGAGACACTTAAGTCATGTTTCACCTTTTCTAGGCAAAGCCAAACAAAGCCCTTTTCTCTATGTCCCACTTTACCTTCCTTTTATTGTTCCTGCAATGGCTGGGGTTGCCCTTTGGCCCTATGCTTACCCGAGGGCTGGGTCAGGGGTGCAGGTTGCATACTCAGGAACTCACCAGGGCCCTCACACTGACTGTGGCACTCCCAGGGTTTGGTAGCAGCTAAGCGGTGTGACTTTGGATAAGTGACATAAGCTCTGGTTCCTGTCTCATATTGGGGTCAGTGAGAATGGACGTAAAATGGAGACTAGGGCCCTGAGACCTGAGTTTGCCCCCCATCAGGACTGGTCTCTGAGCACAGAATCAGGAATAAATAAACCCTGAACGCTGCCGGATGTGCCCACCCCTTCCCCCACAAAAAGGAAGGCGGAGTAGGATGTAGGAGGAGTCTGTCATAAGGTGCCCAGCTCCTGTGATTGGACTAATTAATCCATGATGTCGTAGTGTGACTATTCCAACCCACAACCAAGTGTCAGGCCCTGTGGTCAGGACCTCCATGAGCTCAGAGTGCCTTCTTGTCTATTTGAATCTGGGCCACACCTGGTAGCTCAAAATCTGCACTCAGGAATTACTCCTGGTATTGCTTGGGACCTTAAGGGATGCCGGATCGAGTCAGAGTGCCTTTATGTGCATTTGAAAGTGATCTGGCACCAAATGGCCCCCAGAACTTAGGGTGGGGTGGGGTGGGGGAAAGCTCTGATGGGCTCATTGGGGTGACTCTGGAGACCCCTGAGCACCCTGAGATTCTGGGGCGGCTTTGTGACTCCAAGCTGCACTTCATCCTTGGGCCCTCACATTGAACCTGACTGGCTGAGAATTGCCAGGAGATGCTCTGAGTTCCCTGAGTCCTGTATGGGAGACCTCCCCATTCTGCCCCACAGAAAGAAAAGTTTCCTCTTCCACAAGATGTTTGCCATCACCAGTACCTGACTAGGCCTGGAACTTCCCAGACCAAGCTCTGGGTGCCCTTTGGTGCCCTGCCCTCTGTGCAGACGCCTCCACTGCTGCAGGATGGCCTGCCTGCCCACGCTGGGTTTGGGGATCTCTAAAAGTGAATACCGCGGCTGGAGCGATGGCACAGTGGGTAGGGCGTTTGCCTTGCGCACAGACGACCTGGGTTCAATTCCCAGCATCCTATATGGTCCCCCGAGCACCGCCAGGGGTAATTCTGAGTGCAGAGCCAAGAGTAGCCACTGAGCATCACTGGATGTGACCCAAAAAGCAAAAAAAAAAAAAGTGAATCCTGGGGCATGGAGCCATGGGACAGTGACCAGGGCACTTGTCTTACTGGCTGTTTCAATCCCCAACACCCTGTTTGGTCCCTTGAGCACTGCCAGGACTAAGCCCTGAGCTTAGATGGGACCCCAAAAACCAAAGTGAAAGTGAATCCCACTTAAAATTAAACTTCGTGGTTTACCAAGTTGTTCCTAATAGAGTTGTTTCAGACATTCAGTATTCCAACACCAATCCCACCACCAGTGTCCCCATTTTCTCAACTCTCCCCCCGCCCCCAAGCCTTGCCCCCTTAGCAAGAACACAATAATTTCTTTTATATTGCCTGTTACAACTAAATGGCTAATGGAATTATCAAAAATACTCCAGTAAAACAAAATTTGTGAAAACTGTTCAACTCACCATGGGGTCCTTAAGTCCTTGTCCGAGGGTTTACTGAGCTGGTTTGTTGCTTGTTGAGCCTCCCTTGTTACTGTTTTTGTTACTTGAGTTAGTTGGTTTCTGTGCTATTTTCCCATCTTATTTGGTGTGTGCCTACCAGGATGTCAATCTTGCGGAATTTGGAGGGTCTCCAGGATCTGTAGAACTGGGTTGGTGAATGGGTTGACACGGCAGCAGCTGTGGGGTATGGGCGTGGTTGCTGGGGCTCTCAGAAGTTACGAGAAGACTCCAGAGTTCTCAGCCTTAAAACTGCTGTACCTGGAAGGGTTTCCGTTTGTTCTCCACAGAGATTAATTGTGAGCTAGAGAAGCTGGGCCCTTGGCCTGGTGGCATTGTGGGGATGTGGGTGCCGCTGCCTTAGCTTCGGCAGGGCGTGGGCTCGGCCTGCCCCTCTCCTGAGGGTGCCCCGGAGTTTGCAGCCAGAAGACCCGAGCTTCCGTGAGTTCTTAGCGGCTTGGCATGCATCTCCTTGGAGGTTTTGTCATGACTCAGTGGAGCAGGACCGGTGGGTGAGCCCACATGGTGACGCCTGTGAATCCCACTTCTATTTTGTTGTTTTCTTGAGGCCGCAGTTGAAGGTACTCAGGAGCACTCCCAGCTCAGTGCTCAAGGGTTACTTTGGTGGTGCCAGGCTGGCAATTCAGGCTTTGACAAGCAGAACCTGTCCTCTGGCCCCCCTGTGGCCCCTGCCCAGACCCTGGGTCCCCCTCCTCACAGCTGCGATGTCACTCCTGTCTTGTGCGGCTCTGCCCTGGAAGGGCTGCTGGGCCCCGGGGCCTCCTCACCACCACCCTCGGACCCCACAGGCAGAGATGGAGTTGGTCCAGCGTCTGGGCATCCCCGCCAGTAAGATCATCTACGCCAACCCCTGTAAGCAAATCGCACAGATCAAGTACGCTGCGAAGCACGGGGTCCAGCTGCTGAGCTTCGACAACACCCTGGAGCTGGCAAAGGTGGTGAAGAGCCACCCCGGTGCCAAGTAAGGCGAGGAGCCCGCCTATGTGAGGCTTCACGCGTGCGCACATGTTTGTGTGTGGGGGGGGAGGGGGTGTAGGGGAGTGTGTGTGTGGAGTGTGTGTGAGGTGTGTGTGTGTGTAGGTGTGTATGTGCGGTGTGTGTGGGGGATGTGTGGGGATGTGTTTCAATGTGTGTGTGCAGTGTGTATGTATGGGTATGTGTGTGGAGTGTGAGTGAGGGTGAATGTGTGTAGGGTATGTGTGTGTGTGTTAGGTGTGTGTGTGTATAGGTGTGTGGGATGTGCGGGTGTGTGTGTGGGGTGTGCGTGTGTTAGGTGTGTGGATATGGGTGTGTGTGTAGGTGTGTGGGTGTGGGTGGGGTGTGTGGGGGGAGTGTGGGTGTCTGTCGGGTGTGTGGGGGGTATGTGGAGGTGTAAGGTGTGTGTGGTGTGTATGTGGGTGTGTGGGGAGCGTGTTTGGGGTGTGTGGGGGTGTGTTTAGGGGGTGTGGGGTGTGTGCGTTAGGTGTCTGGGTATGGGTGTATATGTTAGGTGTGTGGGTGTGGGTGTGTGGGGTGTGTGTGTGGGGGGGTTATCAGGGCCACAGGGCAGGAAGTCCAGCTGGAGCAGCAGGCCCTACCTCACACCCAGCCACAGGGGCAGGAGGGTGCGGTGGACCCGTGGGGTCCTGAGCCTGGACAAAGGGAGCGGGTCCAGCCCATCATCCCTGTTGGGTCCCGGGGAGAGGTGTCTGGCGTGGGGAGTGGCTGGTTCAGGCGTACGGCGGGTCAGTGTGGGCGCGGGTGTGGGGCATCCCAGTACCCGGAGCTAGAGGCTAAACAGGTTTATGGCCTGGCTGGAACGGCAAGGGACGCACAGGGCTTGGGAAAGGGCCAGGGCCCTCAAGCTGTGGCTTTCATAGGTCACGGTGGGGGTGTGGATGTCCAGGGAGGAACCTGGGGGTGACGGGGAGGCCAGCTGGGGGCCATTCTGGCTTACCCAAAACCTCTTTCAATTCATCTGGATTATTGGGGTGCTTATGTTTAAGGTCTGCGTCCCCTCCTAGGAGAAAAGCTGGAAACTAGTTGGGGTGCAGGCTAACTGGGAGGAACGGGGGCTGTGGAATGACAAGGTGTGCAGGGGAGATGTGGGGGGGACCAAGGCAGGAGCCCCAGGCTGGGCAGCTCGGAGCCACCAAAGAGCATGACTGAGACCTGTGGTGGGTGGGGGCGGCGGGAGGTCACCCGCAGGGGCGCCCCGCTTGTCTCCCCAGGTTGGTTCTGAGTATCGCCACCACCGACTCCCACTCCCTGAGCCGCCTGAGCCTCAAGTTTGGTGCGTCCCTGAAATCCTGCAGGCACCTGCTTGAGAACGCCAAGAAGAACCACGCAGAGGTGGTGGGGGTGAGGTGAGTGCCAGGAAGCCCAGCTCTGGAGCACAACCACACTCTCAGGAGGGCCTGTGCCAGGCATGCAGCTGGAGAGGCTCCTCAGGAAGGAAGGTCTGGGGTGCCCAGATAGTCCCGTCCTCAGGGCTTCCAGGAGGACCCGGCTCTCCCACCGGAGGGCAGAGGTGGACAGCCCCACCCTTGCCCTGCCTCTTCTCCTGCAGGGCCAGGGCTGAAGGAATCTTGTGACAGAGGTTTCATCTGTTTTGGATTTAGGATGTGTTAGGCACGGTGCTAAATGCGTGACGTACAGAATCTTCCAGCCTGTGGGATCTCATGCCCGCTGTGTTGATCAGGAAACTTGAGCCCGGGCAGGCTGTAGTGTTGGGAATGCCGTGCCCAGAGGCGGATGGCCGGAGCACGCTGTTCCACAGGGCTCCAGCGTCTGGCCTCCCGTTCACTCCTGACTCAGGGCATCACTGAAGTGGGCACAGTGTCCTGTGGACCTGCTCAGGGTCTCTCTCCAGGGAGGTGCCCCAGGACCCTTCCCGTGAGACAAGGCTCTTCCTCCTTCCCCAGTTTCCACGTTGGAAGTGACTGCCCCGACCCCCAGGCCTACGCCCAGTCCATCGCAGATGCCCGGCTCGTGTTCGAAATGGCCACTGAGCTGGGCCACAGGATGCACATCCTGGACCTCGGTGGTGGCTTCCCTGGAGTGGAGGGGCCCAAAGTGAGATTCGAAGAGGTAACCTGCACCTGTGGGTGTCACACGGGGCTGGGTGGGGGCTGGGGGGCATAGCGGTCATCAGCCTGCAGTGCTGTGGGCTCAGCCTGTGCCCTACCTGGATTTTTCTTTTTCTTTTTTTTGAGGCCTGGCAAGCTCCCCGTGACGTATTCAATATGCCAAACACAGTAACAACAAAATCTCCAATGGAGACGTTACTGGGCCCGCTTGAGCAAAATCGACCAACAACGGGAGGGCCTTTACCTTTACCTTTACCTTTTTAAATATTGAACAAATACAGTTGTTTCGGGCATTCCATGTTCTAGCACCAATCTCACAACCAGTATGGCCTACCCCAACCATTGTCCCATTTCCCACTTCCCGCCCCCAAACCAACCCTCTTAGTCACAAAATCATTTATATTGCTTGATATAACCACATGGTAAGTGGAATTATTTAAAAAAAATAGTTCGGGACTGGAGCGATAGCACAGTGGGTAGGGAGTTTGCCTTGCACATGGCCAACCTGGGTTTGATTCCCAGCATCCCACATGGTCCCCTGAGCACTGCCAGGAGTAGTTCCTGAGTTCAGAGCCAGGAGTAACCCCTGTGCATTGCCAGGTGTGACCCAAAAAGTAATAAATAAATTAAATAAAAAATAAATTAAAAAAATAGTTCAGTAAAAGAAAAGTAAAGTAAAAGTAAAGGCCCACCCGTTGATCGTCGATTTGCTCGAGCGGGCCCAGTAACGTCTCCATTGGAGACTTTGTTGTTACTGTGTTTGGCATATCGAATACTCTCGGTAGCTTGCCGGGCTCTCCGAGAGGGGTGGAAAGTTGTGGAAATTGTTATATCTCACGATGGGGTTGTTAGTCATTGTCTGAGGCTTTACTGAGCTGTTTGTTGTTCATTGAGCAACAATGACCTTCTGTGTTACTGTTTTTGCTCACTGAGCTCAGTGGGCTTCTGTGCTACTTTCCATCTATTTTGCTGGGCCCCGACTGGGCTGTCAGTATTCTGGGATTTGGAGGCATCTATGCGGCCACTTACTGGCTTTTCTTCACTTCTTCCAGTCCTGTGTTTGCTTCAGTGGCCCACAAAGGTCATAGCTCTGCAGCAGAGTGGGATGCAGTCTGGCTCTTGCCTGCCTCCCACCCGGGGCCATTTTGAGGTTTAACCGGCATATATCTGCATAAGTCACAAGTCTCGCTGAGGGGGTGGGCTAATGAGAATTCATGGGAGGGCAAGGGAAGGAAAACCAGCCTCCTGTCCTCGCCCTTCTGACTTTCCCAGCTATGAGCTGAAAGTAAAAAAAGATAAAACCCTGTCCCATTACTATCCCCACTTTAACCACTAGGGGTCGCTTCTCCTTAGGACAAGCCTGGGATTGCCACATTCAGGAATGGACCTGAGAAATCCTGGAACTGAATGCCAAGAATTCTAATCTGCTGTGCTCCTACTGGGCTGTCAGTATTCTGGGGTCCCAGCTGACAGAAGTCCGCTGTCCGTCTAATGCTTGGGGGTTATTGATGTTGATGAAAGCATTGCAGGGTGCATTACTTAGGTGAAAATATTTACTCAAGACAAAAGCGGAGTTATGTCCCTTAGCAAGTTTCTCATAAAAATAGTATTTGTATAAAAAATAACTAAAATACTTTCTTCAAAATGTTAACATTGAGCAGGTAAGGTGTTTGCCTTGGAGGCACCTGACCTAGGTTTGATCCCTGGCACCCCATTTCATCCCCCGAGCCCCCTCAGGAGTGAACCCTGAGCAAAGCCAGATGTGTCCCCCAAACCAAAAACAAACTAACCTGAAAAATGAGACAAAAAATTAACATTGTTTAATTTAATCTGGGTGATAGAATTAAGAGTGGCTATAGGGGCTGGAGCAATAGCACAGCAGGTAGGGCGTTTGCCTGGCATGTGGCTAACCCAGGCTTGAGTCCCAGCATCCCATATGGTCCCCCTAGCACTGCCAGGAGTAATTCCTGAGTGCAAGAGCCAGGAGTAACCCCTGTGCATAGCCAGGTGTGACCCAAAAAGGGAAAATAAAAGAGTGGCTATAATCTTTTCTCTGTATTTTCTGTAAAAATAGACAGTACCAAGCATTTGGGGGCTTTGGAAAGGTGGAGTCATACAAGCCTGAGGGTGCGTCCAGCTCTGCCTTCCACTTGCTTTCTTGGCCTGCTGTTTGCAGCTACCAGCGGGGGCCTTAGCAGCTGCCAAGTTTCTTCTTCTGGAAATCAAAGATGTGGTCAAGAAATCGGTTTAGCATTGTCTTCAGCATGAAGCCTCATTTCAAGCATGATTGTCTCCCATCTCCCTGTCATCAGATTGCTTCTGTGATCAGCTCAGCCTTGGACCTGTACTTCCCGGAGGGCTGCGGTGTGGACATCCTTGCCAAGCTGGGGAGGTACTACGTGACCTCGGCCTTCACCTTGGCCATCAGCATCATGGCCGGGAAGGAAGTTCTTCTGGACCAACCTGGCCGGGAGGGTAGGTACCAGGTGGGCCATGGAACCCCATTCTTCTCCGAAGCTTAGGACAGAGAGTAGCTGAGCTGGGTCCCATTTTAGGGATTGGGCGGGTGGAGTCTGGTGAATGAGTTCTTGCTTTAGGGATTTATTTTTTAATGGGGTGGGGGCCCACACCTGGCAGAACTCAGGGGTTTCTCCAGGCTCTGCACTCAGGAATCACTCGTGGTGGTGCTGGGGGTGGATCATATGGGATGCTGGAATTGAACCTGGGTTGGCTGCATGCAAGGCAAATGCCCTACCTGCTATACTATTACTCTCACCCTGACTTTAGGGAAACTTAGTGTGGGTACTGATTCGGGTCCTAGGATGTCCCTTCTGAACCCTCCCGGTCATTCTACTGAGTGGAAGGGGTCAAAGAAAGATGCAAAGAGATAACGCTGGTGAGAGCAATGTACCAGGCTCTCTAGAGGCAGGGCTGGGTATGGAGAGGGCTGTGATGATCATATGACTTCACTGTGAGTGGATGCTGGTACTGTGCTTGGTGCTTAGCTCGCTAGTAATTAACCCCACTTTACAGTCGAGCCAACCAAGGCTCACAGAGGTTACCTGACTTCCGAGTACATGCTGAGCTGACTGGATGGCCGGCTTGGTCTGAGTCCAGCCGGGCCACGTTAGGTATCTGAGATTTAATCAAGACATGTTTGCATAAATCAAGTTCCCTCTCTCTGCTAGGTAGCATCTTTGTTTCCTGGGCATGCTCTTATTTGATCAAGGTTGTTATCAAGGCAACCTTAGGAAGAATCGACACTATACCATACAATCTCATCAAACAGACGAAGCTGAAAACCAAAGATGTGCAAGTGAATGTCTTAAATATCTAGTAAGCAGGAAAGCCCTGTTGGACCTCCTGCCTGTCTCCTCTCCACAGCCCAGACCGCTGGTCTTTCTCTTCTTGGAACATGATACAAAAAATTTATGGCAGAATGTAGACACGAGAGGCTGAGTCACAAGCTCAGGGTCACACAGCTCCAGGCCTGGGAGTCAAGTTTAAGCTGGCCTGCCTCAAAGCTTCTCGGCCCACGCTGCTAATATCAGCACAGGACCCAGCCTGGAGCTGGGCAAGGGGCAGCCAGCTGTGGCCGCCTGCCTGACCCTCCCCTCCCCCTCCCTCCCCGCAGAGGAAACCGGCTCCACCCCCAAGACCATGGTGTACTACCTCCCGGAGGGCGTGTATGGAAGCTTCAACTCAGTCCTGTTTGACAACACCTGCCCTAGCCCCATCCCGCAGAAGGTGAGCCCACAGGCACGGCCTGTTTCCGTTCTTTGAAGCAGATGGTTTCAGGAATCGGAGAGGAGAGAACGAGCCCCTGAAGCAAAGGAAGAGGGACCGGAGTGGTAGTACAGGGGGTAAGGCCCTTGCTTTGCATACGTATAACCCAGGTTTGATCCCGCAGTACCTCATGTGGTCCCCTGTGCCCCACCAGGAGTGATCCCTGAGCAGAGAGCCAGGAGTAAGTCCTGAGCATTGCCCGGTGTGGCCCCAAAATAAAGCAAAGGAAGAGAAATGATGCCCCTCCCCAAGTTGGGGTGTGGACAGCTCCTAAACTGAATGTGAGTGGCTGCATTTCAGTTGGGTTATGTGCACGCGTTCAAAAAAGATTTTTCATGGGCTGTGTGTGTATGTCTGTGTGTCTGTGGATGGGTATCTTAATTTTAAGGTTTTTGGCTTTGGGGTCATGCCCATTCATGCTGTCTCTGTGTTCAGGGATCACTCCTGGCAGTGCTCAGGGGACTATATGAGATGTTCAGGGTTGAACCCAGGTCAGGCATATGTTAAAGCAAGCACACCTGCTGTAATATCTCTCTAGACACATGTGTGTGTGTGTGTGTGTGTGTGTGTGTGTTTGTGTTTTAATCTGAGTTTTTGTTTTTTTGGGTCACATCCAGCTGTGCTTAGGGATTACTCCTGGTTCTGTACTCAGGGATCATTCCTGGCATGACTTGGGGGACCATATGGGACCCCAGGGATCAAACCTGGGTCAGGTATATGCAAGGCAAGCACCCTGCCTGCTGTAATATCTCTTTCGCCCCCAATCTTATTTTTAAAAAGACGAAACTGGTAGAAAAGGGGCCAGAGCAATAGCACAATGGAGAGGGCGTTTGCTTTGCACGCAGTCAACCTAGGTTCAGTCCCCAGCATCCCATATGGTCCCCTGAGCACCACCAGGAGTCATTCCTGAGTGCAGAGCCAGGAGTAACTCCTGAGCATCGCCGGGTGTGACCCAAAAAGCTAAAAAACAAAACAAACAACAAAAAAAAGCAAAAACAAAAACAAAAATCCAAACAAACCACAACTAGTAGAAAATGGATGACAAAGAAGGATAAAAATAACTACCTACATATTTCTTCCCAGTCTATTTGGAGGTGGGGTCTAACCCGGCAGTGCTCAGGGACTATCTCAGCTCTGTGCTGGGGAGATCAGATCTGGACCTCCCGCGTGTAAAGTGCGTGCTCGGCCCATTGATTTATCTCTCTGTGCCCTCTTTTTCAGTCTTTTAGAAAATGTGTTGGACTTACCTCTCATAAAATTGGGGATCACATTTTTTGTAATCCACTTTTATGGTCCTGTTAATTTGGGGTGTAGCTATTGCATGCTATTAACCAAGGTTTGATAACTTGCCTTTTGATTATCACATAGTATTTTTGTTTGCTTTGGGGATACCCTGGTTGTTCTCAGGGCTTACTCCTGGCTCTGAGCTCAGGGATCACTCTTGATGAGGCTTAGGGGGTGAGGGGTGCCAGGGATTGAGCCCCAATCAGTCATGTGCAAGGCAGGTACCTTACTGGCTGTAATATTTCTCTGACTCCTTACACAGTATTTTAGCTGATCTAACAATAGTGGTTAGCTATCTAGTTTTCTGTTTTTAGGCATTTGGGGTAGGGGAGTGACAACATGGTGATGCACAGGGGTTATTCCCAGCAGTGCTCAGATGCTGCGGATCTAACCTGGGTTGGTCACATGCGAGGCAAGCACCCCACCTGCTATATTATCTCTTCAGCCCTAATTTTAAGCATTTTGAGGATATCTGGATGTACATCTCTGGTCACTGCTCTGAATAAAGTCCTAAAAGTAAAATATTTTATTTATTTTAGTTTGGGGGACACACTAATCCGTGCTCAGGGATTATTCCTGGATCTGTGCTCAGGGGTTGCCCTGGGGCTCCAGGGGTTCCAGGGATCAAACCTGGGTAGGCTGCACACAAGGCAAGTGCCCTACCTACAGTACTATCTCTCTGGTCCCTCCTAGACGTACAAAAAATTCATCTTCAAGGGTTGTTCTAAGTTAGCAAGGGGGAAAAAATGGATAAAACAGGGTTGGAGAGATAGTACTTAGGTAAGGCCCTTGCAATGCACATGGCTGACCTAGGTTCAATCCCTGGCACCCCATATGGTCCCTTGAGCTCTGCCAAGAGAGATCCCTAAGTGCAAAGCCAGGAACAAGTTGGATGTGACCGAAAAACAAAAACACAAAACATACTTTCCAGTCTCTAAAATTTCAGCCCAGTTTGAATTTTGAAAGGGGTGAAAACATCGGACTCCTCAAAATGTTTCCATATGCTTTTGTTGGGGGGAGGATCAGACTTGTGTGCAGAGAAGGTCGGGTGGTACTGGGGACCAAACCTGTGCTCTCTCCTTGCACTTCATTTTATTAGTTTATTTTTTTATTGTAGTAAGAACACTTGATATGAGACGCCCTTGTTCACAGATTCTAAATTGTGCAGTACAGTATTACTATATCCACACACTGTTCAACAGCAGACCTCTAGAAAACACTCTAACCTTGCACAAATTTTAACCTGCTTTTTGGAAACTCCCCATCCCTCCCCCACTCCCCCCGCCCCAGGCTTGGCCTGTCCTTTACTTCTATGACTTTGACGGTATCAGATAACCCATATATGGGGAGCTTGCAGTTACATAATGTATTGGAATTCCCCCACCTTGTTGTAAGTGGCAGAATTTCTCTTGTAAGGCTGAATAATATCTCATTTTATGATATGCTCTGCTAAGATTTAAAAAAAATGTACTGGGGCCACTCCTGTGGTGCCTGGGGACTGAGCTGCACCTGAGGGTGCTGCCCTCAGTCAGCCAGTCCCGGCATCATCTGACCTTCCCTTAGCTTCTGCTTCCTCTCCTGCCACTTCCGTCTCACCTGGCATTTCTTCCACACTTGCCCCTGACTGCTGCCTGCCTGAGGCTTCTTCAAACCTGTGTGGGCAGATACTTCCCACCATGCTCTTCTAGACCAAGGATTTTAGTGACTGATAGACTCTTGTCAGTCCAAATTTATGTCTATTGTGGACCAGACCCCTGAGCTCTATATTTGTGCTTCCAAATACCCACCTGACTTTTTTTGGGGGGGGGGGGGGGAGGTGGTGGGAATCACACCTGGAAATGATCAGGACTTACTCCTCGCTCTGTGCTCAGGAATCACTCCTGGCGGGCTCTGGGGACTGTAGGGGTGCCAGGGATCGAACCCAGGTCTGCTACATCCAAACCAAATGCCTAACCTGCTGTACCCCTTCTGGCTCTGCCCCTTCTCCCACTTGATATTTTTACTGTTTCAGTTTAATCTCAGCCACGCTGCCCACTAGTCAACTGCTGCAACTGAAAAGACCTGCCATTGTTCAAATTCTTCATTTCTTTATCTTCCCACCTGCAAGTTCTGCCAGCAAAATTCTTGACTCTAATTCCTATGCATGTATATAGTTTTGTTTGTTTTTGGTGTTCAGGGGCTATTCCTGGCTCAGTACTTGGAGGATGATCACGGCAGGGCTTGGAGGATTGAATCCTGACCTCATGCATGCAAAGTATGCTCCAGCGTTTTGAGCTATTTCTCTAGCACCACGGTCTGTCTTTAACCCATCTGATTCCTTTTCGGTCACTAACACAAGCTACCATCACTTCTTCCTGGGCTGCTGCAGAAGCCACACTTAGCCTCCCCTGCCTAACACCCTCCAGTCTTTCCTTCGACTACAAAGTGAGCTTTATGTTTTGTTTGGGGGCCACATTCAGTGGACTCAGGAACTACTCCCAGTGTGGTGCTTGGGCTTCACTACTGGCAGTTCTCTGGGGACCCTACGGTGCCAGAAATCAAACCCAAGGCCTCACATATGCAAGGCAAGTGCTCGTGCTCTACCACTGACTCAACGTCCCTGGCTCCTACAAGTGACTTAAAATCCCAAAGAGCCTGTCCTCTGTGTGCCAGACCCTCTGTTCCTACAGCAGCCCCAGCCTGTGGGCACTGTGGGCCAGACTCCAATGACACCTGCAGTGGCTCCCTGCATCCTGCCCCCTGCACTGACACTTGCACCCCGGCCTCCTTTCTGCTCCTGGAACACACAGCCCGACCTTGCGGTCCCCCGTCTCAGCTCAGAAATCACTGTTCCAGGGAGCCCTTTCCAACTCACTCTCTCCAAAGTGCACTCAGGGGTCACACTTGACAGGAACAGGGGACTAAATGGGGTGCTGGGCATCAAACCTGGGTCAGACGCGTGCAAGTCAAGCATCCTACCCACAGTATAATGGCTTTGGTCCCTAAATTTTTTTTCTTTTTTGGGTCACACCCAGAGATGCATAGGGGCTACTCCTGGCTCATGCACTCAGGAATTACTCCTGGTGGTGCTCGGGGGACCATATGGGATGCTGGGAATCAAACCCGGGTTGGCTGCGTGCAAGGCAAATGCCCTACCCGCTATGCTATCACTCCAGTCCCTAATTTTTTTTTATGGTGAAAAAAATTGTATTTAGGATTAGCCAGCTGGACTGTTTACATGATCCCAGTTTTGTGGCAACATAATCAGGAGCCATGCCCTTTTCTCTCCATCAGGCCTAATCAGGGTGTTGACCTTGACTACATCAATGTCCTAGAGCTTCTTCACAGTCTGTTTAATTTGGTGCTTGTTGGCCTTGACATCCACAATGAACACAGTGTGTTGTTATCTTCTATCTTCATGGCTGACTCAGTAGTCAGAGGAAACTTGATAATTATAATGGTCATTATAATGGTCAATATAATGGTTAAAACACATTTTAATGGTCAAGCTTGTTTCTCCTGGGGGCGCTCTTCCAAGGGGATTTGGGTTGCCTTCTCAGCCGCAGAGTTTTGGGTCTTCTGGAAGGTGGGCGACGTGCAAATCTTTTTCTTTTTCTGGCTGTGGACGCCTTTCAGCACTGCTTTCTTGGCCTTCAAAACTTTGGCTTTGGCTTCAACTTTGGGAGGGGCAGGGGCTTCCTTCTTGGCTTTCGGCACCATCGTCATAAAAAATGTTGTTTTCTTTGGGAGGGGGGCATCCCCAGCAGGGTTCAGGGCTTATTCCTGGCTCTCCACTCAGACATCACTCCTGGCAGGGCTTGGGGGATTGAACCCAGGTCTGCCTACCAGCTGTACCATCTCTCTGTAGGCTGAAACTTTTTTAAATGGGAAAAACAAGTAAAAAAATTTAGTGTCCTTATAAATCTGTGGTTGGGTATTTGGACCTTGCTTTTGTTATTCTTTTTTCTATGGGTGTTCCCTCTATCCAGCCCAGGGTCTCAGGCCTCAAGGAACAATAATGCAGGGACTTAGAGCACCTGCCTTGCAAGCGTGTGGTCACAAGTGCAACGCCCTCCTGTTGCCCATGCTTCACGGTGCAGAATCCTGGCAGCTCTGTCACTTGCCTTCCTTGGTACTGAAAGTCGTTTTTGATTGTATTGCAGCCAGGTGTGTGTCAGCACCACAAAAGGGGTGTGACCCCTGGTGAGCACCAGAAAGTGTGATATCTGGTAAGCATCTGTGAGCATCACAGTGACGACCCATCCCCCGCCCCCAGCACACAGCCTTAACCAGTGGGCCTCAGCCAAGAGTGTTAAGTGTTAAGAGCATGTGTGTGAGCACAAATGAAGGAGTGTGCACTGTGGCCCAATGTGTAACATGGGGAAGGCTTTGCATACAGCTGACCCGAGTTTGATCCACAGCATCTCTTATGGTCCCGTATGAGTCTGCCAGGAGTGATACTTGAGCACAGAGCCAGGTGTAAGCCCTAAGCACCACCAGGTAGGGCCCAACCACCACCCCTCACCAGCAAAAAACAAACCTCAAAATAGCAAACATTTTTTGTTTGTTTTGTTTTCATTTTGTTTTCGTCGGGCTGGAGCGATAGCACAGCGGTAGGGCGTTTGCCTTACAAGCGGCCAACATGGTCGACCCAAGTTCGATTCCTCCACCCCTCTTGGAGAGCCCGGCAAGCCACCGAGAGTATCTCGCCTGCAGGGCAGAGCCTGGCAAGCTCCCCGTGACATATTCGATATGCCAAACACAGTAACAACAAGTCTCATGATGGAGATGTTACTGGGCCTGCTTGAGCAAATCGATGAACAACGGGAGGACCGTGACCGTGATCCACACTTGGTGGTGCTCAGGGCTTACTATTGGCTCTGTTCTCAATGATCACTTCTGGTGGGCTTGGGAAACCATATAGGTTGTCAGGAGTTGAACCTGGGTAAGCTGCATGCAAAACAAGCATCCTACCTGCTGTACTAATACTTCGGCCCCAGGAAAGGGTACTTCTGTATTATTTTTTGGGGAAAGTTTTTAAAATGATCTTTTCTGTGATGTTTTATTTATACCACTCATAAGATGTGGGAGAACTGTAACTTGCCACTCAAGGGTGCCTTTTCTTTTTACAGGATGTGTTGAAACCTATTTTCTTAGGGACCCTCATGGATACGTTTATACAGCATTTCTCTCCTAAATCTTTAAAAGTTAGCTTAATGTTCTTTAATGGTTGGAGCTAAGGGAAATAACTGAAGCCATTGAGATTGATCTCATTGAGGAAAGCTGGCAAATAGGAACATGATGTTGTGTGCACAAGGATGGACTTCCTCCTCCCATCCTAGTCTGTGAGCTGTGGGAGCAGGAGTGAGTGGGGGCTGGGGCTTTGGTTCTGTGTGTTCAAGGCACCCCACCCAAGACCGGAGCCTAGTATACAGTAGGTGCTCATTCAGTGCCTGCAGCATGAGCTCAGGGATATAGGCTAGTGCCTACTGTGTTTTGTTCTGTTTTGGAGTCACATCTGACAGTGCTCAGAGCTTATTCTTTTTTTTTTTTCCAGTTTATTTATTTATTTTTTTGCTTTTTGGGTTACACCCAGCAATGCTCAGGTTATTCCTGGCTCTGCACTCAGGAATTACTCCTGGCAGTGCTTGGGGGATCATATGGGATGCCAGGGATCGAACCCAGGTCAGCCATGTACAAGGCCTACCGCTATGCTATTGCTCCGGCCCCTCAGAGCTTATTCTTGACTCTGTGATCAGGAATCACTCCTTGAAGTGCTCAGGGGAATCATAGGTGGTACAGGGGACTGAGCTCGGAGCAACCTCATGCAAGGCAAATGCCTCGCCCACTGTTCTCTCTCTCCAGCCCCTAATTCCTGCTTTTGATTCTAAGAGTCTATATCTGGTTTTCTTTGTTAACAAATTGCTTTCAGGGGGCAGTTTTTGTTGAGATTCAGAAAACAGTTGGGAGTCTCTGCAAGGCTAGGGTGGAGGGGAAGCAGGGAGTTCTCTTGGGGAGCCCGGGACAGCTGCAGTAAGTGGCGGCCAGGGGGTTCGGCAGATGGCGGGGCACAGGGCCTCTCACGGGGGGTTTCAAACCAGCTCTGTCGGTCATGACTTTTCTCCTCAGACCCCAACAGGATCCTTCCCAGGTGACAAATCTCACTGATATCTTGGTGGTGCCCAAGGGATGTATGACAGAGGTCCTTTCTGAAGCTGGAAGTCATTTAAGGCAAAGCGTCAAGTTCTGTGTCATGGGTGGTGGTGGCCTTGGGCAAGCCCTGTGACCTGGAGAGTCTGAGCCTGAGTGATTCTATCGGGGCCCCTGTGGCAAGGGCCAGCTCTCCCTTTGCTTGTGTTGGAGCCCCGACTTTTTTTTTTTTTTAAGGCTGGGGATGGGCTTCAGGGCCGTGTTCCCAGCCCCTAGCAGGCCCGACCTCAACACAGACTGAGCCAAGGACGTGGGGATAGGCCTCCCTACCCCTAGCGCTTAGACCCCAGTTACTGGACCTGGCTCAAAATGAGGGTGTCAGGGAGGCCGTCGTAGGATCCAGAGAAGTGGGTGGGAGGAAGGGAGAGGCATGGAGGTGGGAAGACCCTCACCCAGGGTCTGGGAAGTGTCGGCAAGGCCAGTGCAGACCCCGGCAGAGGGGGATGGCAACAGGAGCAGGAACACTCACTGCCTGGGCCCTGGTATGTGCCAGACGTAATTCTCTGCCTACACCCATTTTTTCTTTCTATGCCCCTGGGGGCCCTACAGCCAGGATCCCTGCTTTCCAAGGGAGTATACTGGGCACAAAGAGATGAAGGATGGTGCCCGGGGTCCTGGTGCCGGCGAATGTTGGAGCGGGGTCTGAGGTTAGCACCGCTGGGAGGGAAAGACCCCAAAAGCTGACCGCAGCTCTTGCTTTTCCCCGCAGAAACCATCCTCAGAGCAGCCCCTGTTCAGCAGCAGCCTGTGGGGCCCGGCGCGCGAGGGCTGTGACTGCATCGCGGAAGGCCTGTGGCTGCCTCAACTACGCGTAGGCGACTGGCTGGTCTTTGAGAACATGGGCGCTTACACCCTGGGCACTGGCTCCCTCTTTGGAGGAGCCCAGGCCTGCCGCATCACCTGTGCCATGTCCCGGGTGACCTGGTAAGGGGCCCTTGCTGGGAGGAGGCGGAATGGGCAAAGTGGGCAGGAAACTGAGCACAGAGATGTGCAGGTTGCATCCTGGAGCCCGCTCCTGCTGCGGCCCTGAATGAGCCTGAGCTTCCCCTGAGGAGCTCAGAGCCCTGGGAGACACAGGTCATGGTGTGTGTGTGTGGGGGGGGTGCATGCATGTGTGTGCACATGTGTGTGCGTGTGTGTGTGTGCATGCCTCTGTGTGTGCGTATGCATGTGTGTGCATGTGCGTGTGCGTGTGTGTGTGTGTGTGTGTGTGTGTGTGTGTGAGATGCCCTCATGGTCATACTCTGGGGGTATGCTTGGGTTGTGGGTGGGCGGTAGGGTATGTGAATGTGTGATTGTGTGTGTGAGAATGTGTGGGAAAGAGTTTTAGTGGATGTGAGAGTGTGGGCATGCAAGACTACGTGTGCATGTGTAAGAGAGTGTGTGAGAGACCGTGAGAGTGTGTGTGAAGTGTGTGAGTCTGTGAGAGTGTGTAAGACTGTGAAAGAATTGTGTCATTGTGTGAGAGTATGTAAGAGTGTGAGTGTGTGTGAGACTGTAAAAGAGTGTAAGACTATGTCAGTGTGTGAGTGTATGTGTGTGTGTTTGTGTGTGAGAGAGAGATAAAGAGAGAGACAGAGGCAGAGAGAGACAGAGAGAGAGAGGGAAAGAGAGAGAACAAAGAAGAGCACAAACACAGAGCTCTCCCTGAGACCCACACCTGCCCTGTGAGGAGCAACGCAGAAGGCAGAGCCTGGCAAAGGAGTGGGGTTTGCCAGCAGGAGGCAGAGCAGGTGGCGGGGCGCCCAGGTGAAGAAAGGGAGCAAGGCCAGAGCCTGTGGTGCCTCCAGGGAAGGCCACGTGGTGTGTGGGGAGGAAGCGGGGCTGTGCCCCGGGAAGGGCTTTGAGCTTGGAGACAGACTGGCTTGAAGCAAGGGAGCTGGATCTTAGGGCTCCTCTTGCTTCTGGGTGTGGGCAGGGAGGATCTGCCAGAGTCAGGTGACCCAGGAAGGATTTGCCTGTTCCCTGAGCCTCCTGGGGGGCAGGGGGCAGTGCTGTCCCGGAGAGGACGCCTGCTTGAGGTCACACAGCTGGGCAGTGGAGAAGACCCCTGCTTGGAGGGCTGAGATGGGGGGAGGCACTTAAGCAGGGTCCCCGCTGGGAACTGTGCTGTGCACTCGTGAAACCCTCCCCCTGCCCCGGCTGCTGCAGGACCCAGACCCGAGGAGGGGGCCCCAGCCTCAGACTTGGGGTTTGTTTCTCCAGTCAACAAGGCTTTCATCTCTCTGCTCCCTGCGGGGTCTGGGGCCAGACTGAAATGTCATTTGCTATCAAGGGGGAATTTATACAGGCTGAAAAAGCAAACTAAAAAAATAAACAAAAAACCATTCACCGGGCAGGGGTCAGGGATGTGGCTCCGGGGAGAGCACATGCCCGGGCTGACTCCCAGAACTACAGACAAACACGCACGCCTGTAGCCTTCCCACGCCGGCGCCAGCAGCAGTGGGCAAGGTATAAGGCGTGGGCAATCCATCTGCACCAAACCAGGAAGGAAACTACAGTGTCGATGGCCCTGCCGAATGCTATTCCCCGGTCAGAGTGGCCTTTTCATAGTGTCCTGCAGTGGGCAGGGCCTGGCCTTGTCCTGGGAGCTGAGGGAGGGGAATCAGAGCTTCCGAGCCAGTGTGGTGGCTGCGTACAGGCCTGAATACATGAGCACAGCAGTGATGGCCCCACAGGGAGGGCAGAGGGTAAACAGGCAAGTGGGTAACGGCTCCCAGGGAGAGCTGAGAGGACGCACATGCGCTCACGCGCACACACATACACACACAGGCACACATGGGCACAATGGGTGATGGCTCCTGGGGTGGGGAGGGCTGAAGGCACACAAACACATGTGCGGGCAGTGGTGACGGCTCCCTGGGAGGGTGTGCCAAGCGCAAGTCTGTGCACACATTGGGAAGGGAGTTCAAGGTGCAGGTCAGGGGCCCCTCATGGATAAGTGGTGAGCCAGGCGGTTGAGCCCCGAGGGGCAGATTTGCTGGAGCAATAGCACAGCGGGTAGGGCATTTGCCTTGCAAGCGGCCAACCCGGGTTCGATTCCCAGCATCCCATATGGTCCCCTGAGCACTGCCAGGAGTAATTCCTGAGCACAGAGCCAGGAGCAACCCCTGAGCATCGCTGATTATGGGCCCGAAATAAAAGAGAAGGACCTTGAGGTCCAGTTTAGACTTTACCGCGAGGGCAGCAGGGAGCCAAAGAGAAGGCTGAGAGAAACAAGTTGGCATGTGCCCCCCTCCTCAGGGTTCACTCTGCCCTCTGTCCGTACACGCAGTGCTCCTTCCTTCCCATCTGCGCCAGGTGGGTCAAAGCTGGTGATGCAGAGGCACCTGTGCGAGTCTGGCCCTGATCTCTTGGGAGGGGGCCCCGGGGACAGTGGTGAGGGGTGCCTGCTGACAGGCAGCCTCCAGGGGACAGTCCAGCTCCAGAGTGGGCTGGAGAGAAGCAGGGACCTGAGAAGGAGCGTGGGAGCTGGCGGGGAGGGGCTCAGCCCTGTGGGCCAGCCTGCATCGAGGGAGACGTGGGCACAGTCTGCTAGCCTGGGCCCACAGGAGGGGAGCACTCTATAGGTGCTGAGGAGGACTTGGAAACATCCCGAGTCTTGGGGGGGATGAACACAGAAGGTGGCTTGGGAGTGAGAGTTGGTTGAACCCCAGTCCACTTTCTAAGACGGGGCCTCTGGAAGGTACTTCTGAGTCTGCACAGCCACACTGCATTGAGTAGTGGGTAAGGGATTTGGGGAGGACCCGCTGCAGAGAAGAGCTCTGGTCTTGTCTCTGCCCACAGCCGGTGCTGGTAATTGTGGGTGCTTCCACATGGAGATGCTACCGTAGAGGTTGCATGGCAGAAACCAGGGGGCCTCTGTGTCCCTGCACGCACGCTGCTGTGTCTGTGGGGGTGGCGGGAGATGGGGTTCTCAGGAACCCACAGCCCCACTGTTCTCCTCTCTCGCCCACAGGGAAGCGCTGCGAGGGCGGCTGCCGGCAGAACAGGATGAGGGAGCTGACGGCGTGTGCAAGCCTCTGTCCTGTGGCTGGGAGATCACAGACACCCTGTGTGTGGGCCCTGTCTTCACCCCAGCGAGCATCATGTGAGCGGGCCCCGTTCCCCCCAGAAGCCCAGCGGGGCCGCAGAGCTGCCTGTGGGAGAGGCAGGCAGGGCATCCTCTGGCCAGGACTCTGGTGCCCACGCGGCCACCCCCCCACCGTGCTCTGCCCGTAGTGTTTCTGCCCTGTAAATAGGACCAGTCTTACACTCGCTGTAGTTTCAAGTATGCAACATAAATCCTGTCCCTTCTAGCCGTGTCCGCCTCCTCTGCAGCGCAAGCAGGTCGGTCAGCCAGGTGCTGGGTGTTCTCGGGGTGTCCCGGGGTCTCCTTCCCACCTTTGTAAATATGAAGCAAATAAATATTTAGGTTTTTCAATACTCGAGTGGAGTCCAGATGTTGCAGTCACAGATCAGCTGGGGCAAGGCCCAGGGTGCCGTTGACAGAGTGGGCGTCTCTCGCACCCCACTTCTCTGCCATCTCCCAGACCCCTCCCAGGCCTTGACATTTGGCAGGATGGGTTATTGGGGGGAGGCGGGGGGGTCAGTTATGAGGGCAGAGTTGTCTCCTTCCAGGTAGGGGCTGCCGCTCATGAGTGGGAAGGGGCCCCAGGGAGCTTAATGGGGCGATCATGGAGCTTTTGAAGCTGTCTGCACAACTCAGGAAACACAAAGTTCAAAGAGAGATGTGGGCTGGGGGAGGGGTTTGGCAAAGACCCTGAATCCTCCCTTTTCCTCTTTGTAGTCAGCAAAGCAAAGGAAACTGTGATGCTTTTGGAAAGCAATGCAAAATAAAACAAAACAAAAGGGGGAATTTCTGCATAATCCAGGAATGATGGTAGAACAGCCTTGATCACAGACTGTTGCTTCACGCAGAACCGAGACCCCAAGCTGGTCGCCCAGACAGGCTGTCCTTCGGCAGGAGCAGGCTCCTTTAAGTCCTGGGATCAACAGATTCCTGATTTTTGTTTTTTCAAAGAACCAACTCAGGGATCACTCCTGGTGGGCTTGGGGAACCATATAGGGTGCTGGGTGCTGGGGATAGAACCTGGGTCAGCCGAGTGCAAGGCAAATGCCCTATCCACTGTACTGTCATTCTGGACCCAGTCTCAATCGACATTTTGGATTTATTTTTTGGATTACAGTTCAGACATTTCTGTTCTCAGTTTTATTATTTCCTTCCTCCTGTCTGCTTTGCTCTTTTTGTGGATCATTTTCCGGTTTCTTAAATTGTGCAACCAAGCTATTTATGTGGTCCCTTTCTTCCTTCCTGATGAATGCTTTGCATAGCTATGAACTTTCTTCTTAATAACGCTCTTGCTGTGTCCCCCAAGTTCTAGTAGGTCATGTCCTCATTCTCACTTGTTTCCAGGAATCCTTTAATTTCCTCTTTGATTTCCTCTCTAATTCATTGGTTGTTCAGTAACGAGCTATTTAATTTCCACACATTTGAGTTGTTTCTCCATTTCTGTTAGTGATTAACATCTATTTTCAGTGCATCATGGTCTGAGAAGATTGTTGGTATGATTTCTACTCTCTTGACTTTGTAGAGGTATGTTTCATGTCCCAGCATATGGTCTATCTTGAAGAGTGTCCTATGAGCAATTGGAGATGAATGTGTATTTGGTTTTTGAGAATGAAAAGCCATATATATAAACATACATATATATATATGTTAGTAGTATATATATCTACTAACCAGCTCTCTTCCATTTCTTTCTCCAGTGCAATTATTTTCTTTTGAGCTTTGAGCTAGCTGATCTGTTGGGAGCTGACAGAGCAGTGTTGAAGTCTCCAACTATTGTGTTGCTGTCAATGACTTTCTTTAAGTCTATTAACAATTGTTTAAAGTATTTTTCTGGTCTCTGATTAGGCACAAGTATATATAGGATTGTGAGTTCTTCCCAATGTACTTACCCTTTGATCGTTAAAAAATGACCTTCACTGTATCTTATATTTTTCAGCCCGAAATCTATGTCATCTGATACTATTATGGCCGCTCCAGCCTTTTTGAGAGACTTGTTTGCTTGAAATATTCTCTTCCAAATTTTGAGTCTGTGTTGCTCTGACTGTTCAAATGTGTTTCTTACAGGCAGTAGAATCTTGGGTGCAAATTTCTTTTTTTTTTTTAATATGAAACACTTCATGAGTTTGTGTGTCATACTTGCGCATACTTATTTTCTCTGTACTGTTCCAATTTTAGTATACATGCTGCCAAAGCAAGCACAAGGGTTCAATTTTCTAATCCATCTTGCCACTTTGTGTCTCTTAATTGGTGCATTTAAGCACATTGACAGAGAGATTATTGTCATGGAGCTTCGTGCCACCTTTTTTGCAGGAATTTGGTGTGTTTGTGGGATTCATCTAGTCTTAAAGTAGCCCCTTTAGTGTTGTGAAGATAATTCTTGAGTCTATGAAGTTCCTGAGTTGTTTATCTGTGAAATTTTTTATTATTCTTTCAAATATGAATGACGAGTATGGCTGGTAAAGTTTCTTGGTGAGGCATTCATTTCATTCAGTTGGCTTTTTCTTTCCTTTTTTACTTTATCCAATCATAGATAGTCTTTGGGTCCAGAGTGTTTTATTTGATAAATATGCTCTATTCCTTTGTATGTAATTTCTTTTGATCTTGCTGTTTTTCAGTATTCTATCTCTATGGCTTTTGTCATTCTGATTAGCCTGTGTTTTGGGGTATTTTCATTTGAATTGCTTTTAGCTGGTACCCTTCCGAGTCTCCTGGATCTGGGTGCATGCACTCTCCAGCTCTGGGAACTTCTTGGCAATGGTCCTTTGACTGTTGCTTCTTCGTTCAAGTTGCCTGGCTGCCTGCTGGTATCCAGATAATTCTTGTTTCTCTTGGTTTTACCCCCTAGTTCTCTCGTCAACTGTTCATTTATTTTGAGCGGTTTTCCATCTTCTGCTGTTATCTTGAGGTTTTCTGCACCTCATCTTGGAGCTCACTGATTCTGTCCTCAGCTGCTGTTTCTCTGCTGCTGAGGCCTTCCAGTGAATTTTTCATTTTGCCTACCAGATTTTTCAGTTCTGTTCTGTTCGTGCTTTGATCGTTTCTGCTCTCATATACTCTTGTGTTTTCTTTTTGGGTCATACCTGTCTATGCACAGGGCTTTCTCCTGGCTCTGCACTCAGGAATTACTCCTGGCGGTGCTCAGGGGACCATATGGGATGCTGGGAATTGAACCCGGGTTGGCCGCGTGTAAGGCAAATGCCCTACCTGCTATGCTATTGCTCCAGCCCCACTCTTGTTTTTTTTTTTTTGGTGGTCCATTTCACTGTTTCTTTAAGCTCCTTAAACATCCTCCACATTTCCTCTCTAAAGTCCTTATCAGAGCGGCTATATCGCTCATTATTGCTGGTTGAGTCTTCAGGGCCACCATCTTTGGTGACTAAGCATGTAGGATTCTGCACTGCTTTCCCATTGTGACTTTTGCAACTAGAGTGTTGTTGTGTGGCTGGGTGATTGGGGCTAGGATGTCTTTGTATGTCCATCTTGAGATATGAAGAGATGAAGAAATGCCTGGCCAAATAGCAGATGCATGCTTTTCAGGGCCTCCTAACTTGGGGGCCAAATGGCTCAATGACTCGGCAGATTAGCAAAGGAGTTTAGATTTTAGAGTTCTCCCAGCTGCTGCAGGGAATCCTATTTATTTGTGTATTTTTCTGTAGTTGGAAAAGGTTGCTATAAAATCCACAAGTTTTAAAATTCACCCTTACAAAGTGTAGAATTTTGTGATTTTCAGTTATTTGCACCATCGTCACCATTGTCCTAATTCTAGAACATGTTTATCTCAGAAAGAAACTTTGTACTCGTTAACAGTCACTCCCGTATTTTGCTTTTTCCCAGCTCCTGGCAACTCATCCCACTCAGTCAATTTGTCTATTTAATTTCAACTGCTTAACCTTTTTTGAGATTCTCCCTAAGTAAGGGCGTGTGTGTGTGTGTGTGTGTGTGTGTGTGTGTGTGTGTGTGAGATTTAATTTCAACTCCTTAACCTTTGAGATCCTCCCTAAGTAAGGGTGTGTGTGTGTGTGTGTGTGTGTGTGATTCTCCCTAAGGGGGTGTGTGTGTGTGTGTGTGTGTGTGTTGCCACTCAATGCCAACCCAGCAGGATCCATGCCAACCCAATTCTGATACACTCTACCTGACATTGTCAGATCGCCCTAGGCAGACACCAATGTCCATGTCACCTCTGCTTCTGATCCACTGGCTAGACTGAAGGTTCCAATGACTGTTCTCCTTGGGTTTTCTAGAATGGCTCCCAGAATTCAGAAACTTGAGCTACCTCACTGGTCCATTCCCTCTGTTAGAAAGACATAAATGTATCCTCTTGGAACACCTCTCGGAGCAGCCAGGACAGAGAGGCACAGGGCAAGACCTGGGCCTGGGAACAACTTCCAGACTGCCCCAGCTCCCCTCTTTACTTCCCTCTAAAGCAATGCCATGTATGTGTGTGCCGGGCTCAGCCCCGCTGTAAGGCTTTATCAGAGGTTTCTTGTATTCTGGAGATGCAAGAAGATATGGAACCACTCAGGACTCCTTTTTTTTTTTTTTAATTGAAGAGGTGTGTGAAAAACACGTTTTCCTGCTGGGCTGGACCAGGGTGGTCGCTGGGGAGAGCCCTCTGTGGCAGCAGCTGGCACTGAGACTGAACAGATCCCTCACAGGACTGCTGCAAAACTTTTCTGAGAAAGAAACAGAGCTGGGAGTGGCCTACTTGAGCATAGCAGTCATTCCTTTTCAGTTATTTTGTTTTTATTTTTCTTTCCATCTCTTTCCAAAGAAGAAAGCTAGCCAGGAAGCCTATGGGGAGCTATGCGGCTTCAGCTGCTCAGAGGCCCCTGGGAGTCCCTGGCACAAGCCCTCCCCTCTTAGGGCACTCCTTGCATGCCAGTGCTCAGGCCATCTGGCTGCCCCAGAAGTCAGACGGTCTTGCTGGCCCCTCACAAACTTCTGGCTCTGAGTCCTCACCTAGGGACACCCTCCAACAAAGGTCCCAGCACCCAACCTGTGTTTCACAAAGGTTCTTTCTGAATCTTGCTCTGTCACTCAGATTTCTTCCCCCGACACCTGGTGTGGTTCTCAGGGTTAATTAACCCCGGTGGTTCTCAGGGTTAATTCCTGGCTCTGTACTCAGGGATCACTCCTGACCATGCTCAGAGGACCAACCATATAGAGTGCCGGGGAACTGAATCAGAGCCGGCCGCCTGCAAGGCAAGCACCCTAGCTGCTGGACTGTTTATTGCTCCTGTCCAGTCAGTCACTCACTGTCCCTCTCTCACTCTCACGCATGCTCACTCACACTCTCCCTGGGAGGTAACTAGAGATGCTTTGGACCCAGACCAAACTGCTATCATCTCACGCA